CTTTCCATGTTTTTTAATGGGATTTTTATTATCCAGATGTTATTTCATTCTCCATCTTTTTTTTCTTCCTGTCTTACCTTTTACATTTTCTATTTCCATTCTTTTCCATTGCCTTCTGTTTTTTTTTTTGTGTGTGTGTGTGTGTGTGTGTGTGTGTGTGTGACCGGTAAGGGGATCGCAACCCTTGGCTGGGGTGTCGTCCACACTGCACTCAGCCAGTGAGCACACCGGCCATCCCTACATAGGATCTGAACCCGCGGCCTCCATGCTCCCAGCGCCACACTCTCCTGAGTGAGCCACAGGGTCAGCCCGCCTTCTGGAAGATTTATTCAGAATGATCTTTTTCCAATGATTAGTTCATTCTTTGCCTTTATTCATACTATTCTTATCCAATACTTTGTTTTGATTCCAATTATTATGCTTTTCATATTTCTTTATGATTGTTGTTTTTGCTTCATATACCTAATATCATCCCTTGTTTCCTTACAAATAGTCTTAATACTTATTTTAACTTTTTTTACTTCATCAAACCCAATTCTGCTTCACATGGTATATACCATTCAGTTTTTTTACCCATCCCTTTAGAGTAAGTATACTCAACATGTTTACCAATTTTGGCCTGCCAGCTTGTGGTTTCCCTTGAGAGTATTGCCTATCCCCTCAATATGTATTAAGGAAAGGTAGTTTATGCCTCCAGCTTTATTTTATTTTATTTTATTTTGCTCAGGATTGTTTTGGCTATTCAGAGTCTTTTGTTCCATATGAAAGGTAAGATTGTTCATTCCATTTCTGTGAAAAATGTCATTGGTATTTTGATAGGGATTTAATTGAATTGGTAGATCGCTTTGGGTAGTATAGACATTTTCACAATGTTAATCCTTCCAATCCAGGAGTATTCCATCTTTTCATGTCTTCTTTATTTCAGAAGTGGTTTGTAGTTCTCATTGTAGAGGTCTTCCACCTCCTTGGTTAAATCGATCCCTAGATATTTTACTTTTTGTGTGACAATTGTAAATGGGCTTACTTTATTTCCCTTTCTGTTAGTTCATTATTTCAGTATATAAATGCAACTGATTTGGGGGTACTTATTTTGTATCCTGCAACATTACTGAAGTTATTAAACAGCTCTAAGAGTTTTTTAATAAAGTCACTAGGTTTTTCTCTATATAGTATCATGTCATCTGCAAAGAGAGACAGTTTGACTTCATCTTTTCCAATCTGGATTCCCTTTATTTCTTTCTCTTGCCTGATTGCTCTGGCTAGTACCTCCAGTACTATGTTAAACAGTAGTGGAGAGAGTGGGCATCCTTGTTCCTGTTCTTAAGGGAAAGACCCCCAGATTTTCCCCATTCAGGATGATACTGGCAGTGGGCTTGTCATAAATGGCTTTTATTATGTTGAGATACTTTCCTTCTATACCTAATTTATTGAGAGTCTTTATCATGAAGGGATTTTGAATTTTGTCAAATGCTTTAGCTCCGACCTACCTTTCCCAGTAAATTTAGAAGATAAAGTGTATGTCACAAGAATACTAATGAACCACTGCTGATCATACCAATTGGCTTTCACTCCACAAGGCAATTTCCCTGGTAAGAGTTTTATATTTAAATTTCAGTGCAAGATGGCACTTATATCAGGCAAATTACCTATTTGTAATACATCAGACCTGGCAGTTTTGCGGAGGGGGGGGGGAATGGAGTAGTGACTTCCCAGTATTGGCAGGTAGTCCTGCATCTACTTTCATCAGTGCCTCACTTTAGCATGGGTTTCTCCTGCCTTGACTTTACCCTGTCTATACCAGAAGCTCAGCTATTGCTACAGGTTTGTTTTCAAGGGGCAGTTAATGATTGTATGTAAAGAATTTGAGGAAGATGCATGAGAAAAATTTAAATGATTTCTTCCAGTCTCTGTTACCGCTGGTGGCCCTTGGCTTTAGCCTGTAACACAACTGCACACTTACACATACCAGTTCAAAACAGCTTTCAATCGTCCTAGAAAATGAAATTCTTACAGCTGTTCATTGTATGTATGTGTCTGTGTGTGTGTGTGCACATGTGTTGCTTGCTGCTGTTAATTACTAAAATCTAAACTTTTCTTTCTTTATTTCTCCAGAGATCAGCAGCTATACTAATTTAACATCTGCTGGAATCAAGAGTTTTGGTCTTTATCACAACAGCAATGGGAAAACTGATATTTTTTTAATGCAGTGGATGATGTTATCAAACTTGTGTTTCCAAAAGGCATCTCTGGCTACAGCATTTGGAGGAAAACAAGAGTGGATATGAGAATATCAATTAAGGCTTCATTAGTCCAAATAATCTTGGTCCAGAGTAGTTATGACAGAAACAAAGAGCAGACTTGTAAGATATTTAGAAGATAAAACCTGCAAGACTTGGTGATGGATTGTGTATTTTGGAAGAAAAATGGGAAAGTGTTAGGGTGACACCTAAATATCAGAATCTGTAAAAGAATGGAGTGTGTTCTTTCTGTAGATAGAGAGCACTGATAAAGGAAAATGCGTGGTGAAGAGGAAAGGAGAAAGTCTTAAGCCTGGTTCTGAACATTTCATTTGAAGGGGCTTTCAAAACATCCAAAAGGAGATCTCAACAACTCACTTAGACATCCAGGTTCAGATCTCAGAGAAGAAATCTGAACTGGGGACATAAAGTTGAGTCAAATGGCAGTATAGCACAGCAGTAAAATACATGGAATCTTCAGTGAGACAAACTGGATTTGGAATCTGGCTCCACAACTGTCAAGCTGTACTACCTCTGGAAAGTTAGTACCCTCTCTGTGCATCAGTTTCTTCATCTGTATATAACAATTCTTACTAGAAGTTAGGACTGAGTTAATATTTGCAAAGCACTTAGAAAAGTGCCTGACACATAGTATTATATATGTGTTTGATAGCATAATAAATGGATAGAGGTGGTGATTCAAGCCATGGGCATGAACATATCACTTGGGAGGCAAAAGAGTTTGAGAAAATATGAGGATCAGTGATCAAGATTTAAGGAACTTCCTTATTTAATGATTAAAAAAAAGGGAGGGATAGATCTTCAAAAGAGACAGAGTAGGAATGGACAAAAAGGTTAGGAAAACTAGGAAAGTATATTGCCTTGGAATCCACAGTGATGAAATAACAGCACTTATGAGTAAAGATTTTGAAAGAGTGTAAGATAGACAGCATCAATTGCAATAGAAAGCTGAATGAGTAGTTTAATGAGTACAGTGGATGCTGTGATGTACCTCCCAGACCTCCCGTCAGGAATGGAGGTCATATTCCCCTAGCTCCTGGGAGTGCTGCCAGCAGAGATGCCTCAGCTTTCAGCTTCCTTGAATAATTGCCTTGGCTAAAGGGGTCCTTCTTGCAAAATGCATGAACCTTTCCTCCACACAGCCCTCATTCAGTAGCTGATTACCACAGGACCCAAAAGCCCATTCCTTTCACCCCACTTTCTAGAGAAACCTTAGAAAGTCTCTCCCAGTTTTAGATCTCTACATGGGATAGGCTAAGAACTTTGTTGAGACTGGGCATCACAGCCTAATTTCTCCTTCTGATTTATTTTGCTTCTCTTCCATAGATACTAATCTCCAATAAGCTTCCTGCAATACCAAGGTCTGTTCTAAGAGTTTCCCAGGGGACCCAATTGTTGGCACTGACTTTTATTTACAGGGAGTAGTGATGGATATGAAGAGAAGTCAGAATATAAAAGGTAAGAAATGAGTGGTAAGTGAGAAAATGAAACAAGCAAGAACAGGAAACTCTTTCAAGTAATTTTGCTTTCACAGATAGGAGGGTGACCAAAACGCAAGACAGTATTAAGGGCTCACCACCCCATCCTCTGTTTACTATGGGAGATATTTGACTGAAAGATAAGTACTAGTTATAGATACAGGATTTTATACAGCTGAAGTTAACAAAGAGTGGACAGTAGTTAGAGAGTGCCACTTTCTGTTAATACTTCAGGATATGAAGTTCTTTAATCAGTATTACCTCATTAAGAAGTTAGAGGAATGAGTAACCCTCATTTTTAAAGACCAAAAGAAACCTTTAAATTGCTACCTTATGTGAGTCTCATAAATTTGAATAGTGTGAACCATTACGCACAGGAACTGTCATAAAACTGAATCTTCAAAACCACTCCGCCCACACCTTTTTCCTAGCTCCAGCTGAACTAGAATTTCCAACCCCTTCACCAGAAACTGAACCCATTTTTCAGCGACTTAACAGCAGGATTCAAGAGACTTCCGAAAAACTTTTCTCTTGAGATCCAACCAAGTTGCCAAAAAAAAAAAAAAAAAAAGGTTACACAGGGAACGAAACTATGAGAATGAACGAATTAACTGTATGATAATAAGTAATAGTTTTGACCAAGCCTGATCGTGAGCGTGGAGCAAAGGGTTAAATAAATCTAGAGGCAAGGATTCAGGAAAGAAAAAAAATGATAAACCTTCAGAGAAGTAGCAACAATACATCGCTGGCCACAGGCAAGCGTTTAATACTTTCACATGCCAGGAGTGTATGACAACCCCCCAAAAACCCTGCCAACGTCTTTTAAAGCACTGCCAGGAGAGGAAAACCTACACCAGCAGCGAGTACAAAGGCAGAAAATTTAGGACTGACCCCGGAAACATTTTATTTTGCGTAGGCGTCTGGAGAATTTTCTTTTGCTATTCGTTCCTTGATCCGGAAGAAGAGATTGCAAACCTCACTTGCCATTGGGTTGCAACATAAAGGCGGAGCTTTACCGAACCAGTCACCTCAGCTACCGGATGTGACGAACGCGGAAGCAGCAGGCTGAGTTCTGCTCTCGCCAGCGGCTTTGGCGGGCGGGGTCGACAGAGCCAGGTTGCACGGCGTCCACCATTGAGACGGCCCTCAGAGGGGCGTCGCTTACGACCACGCCTCCCGCGCCTGCTCCAGGGAGTTCTGGGGCGATTACGTAGGCTCTGGGGGGCGGAGACTTGGGCCGGCGCTCTCAGCGTTAGGCAGAGAAGGCGTCGTCACCCGCCTGGAGTCTTCCGGCTTCTGGGTGGCGCCACCTCCCTCGGAAGCCTGGGAGTAGGCTCTCTGGAGAACCTTCCTCTCTCCCTTCCGCACAGAACCCACCCCGTAGTTGCTGCAGACAACTCCAGCCCAACATTCTCTCGGTCTTGTTCTCGCCCCTTTGAGAACTGCGGCCCCACTCGACCCACTTTCCTGGATGAGCTGTTCCCTCCCATCCCTATAAAATGTCCAATAATTTGCAGAGGGTCTTCCTGAAACCCGCAGAGGAAAGTTCAGGCAACGCCTCGCATTGGTAAGTACCGGTTTCGAATACTCCACACGCCCGCCCCTCGCCCAGTCTCTTAGCAGCGTGTCCAGTCGCCTGTCGTTTCAGGACACTCTGCACTTCTGAGGAGCTTGACACTGTAGGGTGCGCCACTCCAGCGGGAAGTGCTTGTCTCCGGCGCTTATAGCCCTTAGACCACGTTCTCCTGGAAATGTAAAACCTCTTTAGAGCCTGAGGCGGGCAGCCCCTTCCCTCGTTCGCAGCACTCCAGCGTCTCAAGTTTCATGGGCGGAGTAGATCTCCACGGGAAAGGAAAATCAGCATGGCCGACGCTCTTGTGTGACCAAAGCCTTCTGGAACATTCTCGCGCAAACGCAGAAAAACACGCAGCAGTCGGCGCGGATTAGCAAGTGTAGCCGTGGTGGAGCTGCACCATTAGGGAAAATAGAGTTAGAAAGAAAGGATATATATAGCTGAAGAAAAATGGTTTTAGAAGAAGGGAATTAAATATTTTAAAAATTGAAATAATAGCTTTATATGAAGAGAGAAAAGTAAAAATAGAGAAATTGTGTAAAATCAGTGCTTTTGGACAGAGTATTTGAAGCAGGTAGAATGAGAAGGAATCTCATTGGCTGTCAATGTAGAGGAACTATATTTGACATGGGGAGATTCCAACTACATTCTTAAATTTTAAATTTAGAGAACACATTACCAGTAACTAAGTTTTTTTTTAAGCTTGTATTAATCAAGATTAAATAGGAACAAAATGTTAGCTAAGGCAGAATGTTTTGAACTTGTAGTCTCCATGGTTACTGGATGTACTGTAAGTGGTGAGAAAGATAATAGATCTGCAGAAGGAAAAGGAATGAGCATGGAAACTAAGATGCAGAACTCATGAAAATGCCTCAGTTTTGAATCTGTAAATACTAGCACCTAGAAATATTTTAAAGATTAAGCGAATGAATAAATGTAGAATAGAGTGTAGAAAAAGAATAAAGCTCTATTTAAACGTTAGCTATTACTATTATAAAAATACATCTTTAATTTTGTACACATTTTAGCCTAGGAAGTAGGTTTCTTTTAATTACAAGTATATACACAACCGGATTGTAATGGAGGCTTAAGTTATGATGATTCTTTAAAAACATGCAAAATATTTTAAAGGGAAATGGTCACTAATAGCAGTGAGCTAAAACAATATTGAAGAACTGCCAAGAAAGGACCATTGTATTTCAAACCATAAAAAGAGCCAGCTTTTGTGTACGTGTTTTTTTGTTTGTTTGTTTTTGTTTTTTAATTTTGTGGTGAAAGTTTGAGGGAAGAGGCAGAAATAGTGTCATGTATAGATATGCAAAAGTAGAATTACCATTTAATGATTGTTTAATTTCTCCTATGTTATTTTAGTACCTGGATGTTTCGTGACATCTCACTTAATGTAACTTACAGGCAATTTGTTTTAGGATTGCATTCTTTTTTAATATCAGGGATAAGCTATAGAACTTTACATTTTTATTTATTGTGTACTTTAATTCTTTTATCTGGTTTCTAATCCTTTTGGCTATATTGGGAATTTTTTTATAACATTGCAAATTGAAATATGTTTTGGTTACATTCGTAAGTCATTTTGAGTTAATTAACTCATTGATTTATGCATTATTGTTTTTATTATCTTTGAATGCATTTATTTAAGTCACTGAGGTTTTACATCACATATTTGGGACTTTTATTAGATGTCTTTCTGAAGCTGTTTGACACTTTGGTTATTGGTTGTATATTTGATTCTATTCCGTTTTGTAAGTAACAATCTGCATGATGTTCAAATATAATTTTGTAAGTAATGTAATTAATGCCAGCTCTTTTAGTTTATTGGAAGCTTAGATTTCTTATTTTTTGATAATATTTTTGATGGTATTAACACTTATTTTCTTAAGTTAAAATGACTGTACAATCATATATCATTTATTTTCTGTAGATGTTTGAATTTTTCTTGAATTACTGCTTTTTTCCTTTTTAAAAATTTTTAGTAATGTGATACAGATGTTTATCATTTGTAGTATCTCTAATTCACCAGGGCATTGAATGGAAAGTCCAAATTTAATCTTAAAGTACAAAGGAAAGATCTGGAAGATATTTGTGATAGCATACATTTATTTTGATTTGGGTTTTATTAGCAAAGAGCAAAGCAGGAGTCAGAATGGTATAGTGGGAAGAATGTAAGCTTTGGAGTTAAAGATATCTAGGTTCATATCCTAGTTCACCACTTACTACTATCAGTACGGTTTAAACATTTGGTCAAACAGCATTCATTGAGTGCCAACTATGTATGTGATACACTGCTTAAATGGGGAGGCTGATTAAAGAATAGGACATGGGCTGTACCCATGAGAAACCTTACAGTCTGGGGGAGGGGAGATGTAATAATTTTATGATAGCATTGTGCACAAGATGCTGTAAGGGCGTAGAGGAAGGGAGTTGTAGGAAGGTTTCAGGAGCAGCCAAGTTGGGAAACTAAGTATCAGCTATCCAGTTAAAGATGAATGGGAATTTGCTCAGGCAGAGGGAATTGGTAAATAAATCATGAGTATGTTTTATTACTAACAATTGGTGTTAGTAATAAATTGCTTGATTCTGTACTAAAAGTAATAAATAGATAGACTTCATCTATTGGAAATTGTTCAAAGGATTTTAAGAAAAGGATTTTAAGAAAATGACAGGGATGGTCAGTATGCATTTTGGATAACTGATGGCAGTGTGAATTTGAGGGTGAGGGATCCACATCAAAGGATTTTACTTCAGTTATCTTTTCAGAAATTCTGAGGGCCTGAACTAGCTGATGTATAGTAGAGGTTGGATTCAAAGAAATGTGGAAAGGAATTTAGGAATTTAACAATTCACCTTGTTAGTGAATTGGCACAAAGAAAGGTGGATCAATTATGATGTAAGTTTTCTGGGTAGATATTGGTAAATTAACTGAGATGAGAAACCAAGAAAGCAATCTGAGAAATAATTGAATGTGAAAGTCAGGCAGAATCAGAACTGAAAATAGATACTTGGGAGTTATTATCTTAGAGATACTTGTATTATAATACAAGCCTATGATTATACATCCCACGTTAATAGGAATTAAGATGTCATGTGTTGTCAATTGGCTTCTATCCTCCCTTAGCCTTTGTTTTCAAATGATGAGCTAAAATTAGGGTTCTCACCAGGAGGCTTGGTTTGATTTGAAAGATGATGTTTCATTATCACTTCAGTGTGCATTTAGTTGTATACAGTGTAAGTTTTATTATCTTTACTTTTGTGATTTATGTGAGTGTGTAGGGGAGGGAGGGAGAGAAAGACATACATACACACATACACACGTACAATACTGTGTAATGAAATCTGTTATTAATCTCTCAGTTTATGCACTTGATATTTTTTGGACTCTGTTATGGCAGGGTTATGCTAAGATGAATGAATAGAGTGGATAAGTTTGCTCAAGGAGAGCCTGTAATTATGAGTAAGTCATTTAATATTTTTAAACCTCCATTTTCACAACTGTAAAATGGAAAAGGTAATACCCACCTTGCTGGGTTGTTGCTTAGAAGTACAGTTAATGACAACTATTATAATAACGTATCTATTATGTACATGATATTTATATATTATTGTATATGTTATTACAATACGTCCCTATATATATATGTATATATATATATTTTACATTATGTAGGTACATAATGTTATATCATAGATAATAAGATGGAAAATTTCTTAGCGATTGAAAAAATATATTTCACAAAAATATTCATTAGCCTCCAATGATTTTATCTTTTCATTTCTAATATGCAAATGCCTTAATCAGCATTAGAATAGTCAAAAATGTCAGAAGCTATATAATATCATCATCATATTTAATAAGCCTTTTTATTAAAGTTCTCATCATATTTTCGATTTACCAGATTCATTCATTTCCTTATTTTTGGAAACCAATTACATATTTTAATGGAGGGTAATAACTGTCATGCTCCTGGAGAATAATTTCATTGACTTCTCATAGCAAACCTTATTTTTACCAATTGACATATGAAGAAGTAGATTTGAAGAGGTTAAGTACATTTTTCAGTCAACTAGTATTTGGAAGAGCCAGGATTGAAGCCTGTAATTTTCTAATGTATTCCTCTTTTCTCCTTTAAAGTTTTAAACTGCATTACTTTTCCATAGTAGTTTGTCAGTTCAAACAACAGCTGATGTAAAGTAATTGGCATGTTGATGATTCTTCTCTTTAAGTGACCAGACCAGAGCATGGTATGCAGAATATTGTTCTAGTTTTACTTTTGGCATTAGCTGGCAGAATATGATCTTTAAGAAAACAGAGTCTTTGTAAGGTTTTAGTTAGTATCTTAAATGGAAGGTTCCTTCTAGATCTGAAAAAAACATACGTTGATTGAAGGAATATGAATTTCAACCTGTTTTGTCACTTCTCTCCTTAGCATAGTGCATTTCAGTTTAATTTTTAGAACTCATTCCATTTTGTTGCCAGGAAATCGTGGATTGTTTTTTATTACAGCTTGTAGGATTCAATTCAGCTAACATTATTGTCTACAATGTCCGGTTGCTCTATTAGATGCAGAGGATATAGATATGAATAGGATAACCTACCTTTAAGGAATTTATAGTCTGTGGTGGATTATGTGACTCTCTACTGATATATTGACATAAAGGAAGCTGCATTTTCCTTTTTGGAGATGAAATAGAAGAAAAGAAAGGGGTAAAAATCCAATGATTAGATTTGAAAATGGTTTGTACATTAGTTACAAATTTTGTTTTGTAAAGCAGAAATGTAGAGGCCATATAATGTAGTGTGAAATATCAGAAATCTGTGTAATTTGTTTAAATACCATGTTAATTAAATCGTGATTGCTCCTTTTCTAATAATTGTAAAGTCATGGGTTCTCCTTTGTTGAAGTTTCTAATTTGTTAGGCAGATATTACTGATAGATGAAGTACGTAAGTAAGCTAAAGGAGAGTAAACAATAAAAGGC